CTTTCTCTCTGTTTTTTTTTTCTCTCTCTCTCTCTCTGTGCATCATCTGAGTCTGTCTGCACCAGTGAGCGAATATGAAAACATAATGGCGAAGGCACAGGGTGCACATGCATGCAGGGGCGCGTGTCCCTATTTGGAGAGAGAGAGTATAAGTTGCGGGAAAATAAAATGAAAGGACCTCTTCCCGCTGTTAAATAAACAAACAAACGAACAAAACAAAACAAAAGACAAAAACAAAAAAACCAGCGTACGAAAACAAAAAGGGGAAAATATTGTTCTGGCATTTGTAAAGGCAATGCTCTTCCAGTTATAACATTTATTTCGTTGTAGTTGTTCCCCAGGCCAAAGAGATATTACAAAGTGCTGGTGTCTCCGTCACCAGGCTAACTGTTACTTGAATTACCATGGCACACAAGTTATAGTTTTCCAAAGCTTTTGTGATCAGTGTTTTCTCTAACATAACCATTTGTTTACGCACAAAACCGATTTCACAAGTCGACAGTCCACACAAAGAAATGTAGACGCCTAAGGATTACTTCGTTTTCGATAGCATACTGAGATTATTTGCTAAGGCCATTGTAAGAACTATATAGGGAAGTAATATTTGTATGAAAACTAGGCCAGTTGTAAACCGAATCAAACGCAAAGTCATGTGAATTCAACTTCGTTACAATAGCTTGCTGTCGGGTCAAAAGATATTTTTTCTTCACTACCAGCGTTATTTGCTGAATCAAATGATCAAAGTTAACTCCAGTATAGTTCCCTAGAGACGATCCTAAATTCAGGTGCGTCGCTAGAAGTTTGGGAGGTTGAGTATACAACTGAGAAGGGAAAATGAATGTCACAAGAACATTATAATGACCCTCAGCCCCCCCCCTCCCCAACTTGTTTAGTCTTTATTAAGTGTAGCGAGAGTTAGTTCATAAAAAACAAGATACAATCGGAAAACAACCAGAACAACGCTCCTGATTATGGAGGTCCTTACAATTTGTCGTTAAAAATGGGATCTTTTAATTGGGTGTGGTGAATTCTATCATCATTTTCAATAAAACATGACTCATCTGTCTATTTTAGTTATTTTGAAATTATAAAGAAATCGTGATTCAGTATTCACAACCGCTTTCCAAAATAGTGTTATGGCAAACATGAAGTTAATGCAACAAATCGTCCTTGTTTTCACGAAGTGACGGTAGTGAGAAAAATCGTCACGCAAAGTGAATGCAATTTTATTTCACTACCGTCACTTCGTGAAAACAGCGACGAAATATGCTCGTTGCACACGAGAGATCATGTTTGTTACCATGTTTTTTTTGCGATGATGAAAACTTGTTTATTTTATAGCCTTTCTTTTTAACAGCCCACAAATTTAGTAATGTGGTGAAACAATAGGTTAATCAATGTTAAATGGAAACATATTTTTGCTAATTACCGCAGAACATTATGTCAACATATTATTCGTGACTTCTTTGTATACAAATGTATAAGGCGTGGGGGTTTACCAAACAACCGTGACCGAGTATTGCACGTTCTTATATACCATTGCTCATGTTACTTGTACAATAATGTAAGTTACAATAATGAGGAAATTTAGTTTGGTCGTGTTAATTTTCAGTTTAGGGTATTAATACTGACACTTGACATTTATTGTAAGATTAATGTAAGACCGGAGTTTTTTTTTAAAAGAGAGAAATTAAATGTACTTTAAAACACGAACAGGAGATCAAAACAATAAACCGGCCCCAGTTTTATGTAGAAGGACGATCCCCCCCCCCCCCCCCCGCCCGATTCCCTTCCCCTAATAGAAGCTTACAACTGGGAATATTTTTTATTGAATTTTTTAAAGTTATTATTTTGGGGGTTTGTTTACTGTTTCGGAGTGGTGATTTTCCCAAACTGTTTGCTTGAAAGTCAATATTAGGTTCAGAAAATAAAATTGCATTTCACGAGAGAAATTGGTTATTCGCTTTTGTTCGTCCGTTTTAGGGGTTTGTTTGATCTTTTGCTTGTTTGTTGTGTTTATTGTTTTGCACTGGGTGGCGATTTTCCAAACATATTTACTTGCATTAACATCAATATTACGTTCTGCAAATAATTACACATTTCACGAGTCAGAGAAATTGGCTAACAATAATCCTGGATATTTTGTCATGCATCAGATGGTTTGATTAGTCCAGCAGAAAAAAATTACAAAACCTGGTGAAAACCAATTCACTTAAAAAAGAAAGCAACTCGTTGCACCTCAACCATCGCACTCAAAATATGTGACTGGTGAGTTACACAAGGTCTTATGCAAACTCATTTGGCCAATTGCCATTACATGCAAATGGACCTGGGGGGGGGGGGTTCACAAGGATCCTAAGTCAAACTTAACTCTAAGTTGGACTTAAATATTATGGAGAGCCATTTGTAGCCTTAAAATAAAATATATTCAAAAGCAAAAAGTCAGTTATCTTAGACTTTTTATAAATTCTACATCAAGAACATGAAATATCACATGATAATAGAAAATATGAATGATTTGATTCAACACTTTATGCCTTTTAAAATAACTTATACAAAATATTTTCATAGATGCTAACGGCTTTCCATAATTGTTAAGTCCAACTTAGAGATAAGTTCAACTTAGGATCTTTGTGAAACACCCCCCTGGTACAATTATTAGTGCAACTTTCTCATTATCATGTTTTCGTCATGTATTCTTCGTCATTTTTTTTGTTTTTTTTTTGCTGTTGTTGCTGCTGTCGTTCTTGAACCCATACTTCATCATGCTCTGTATACGGTGTATCCGAAAAAGGGTGATTTCAATTTCACTTTCCACCAAATGATCATTGGCCAACACTATCAATTCGTCCGATACTTCTCCACAATGGAATATACCCTTGCTCGAGGCAATGTGTTCTCATGATTCATTCAACATAACATCGAGTGACCCCGCTATTGTTTCTTTTATTCTTCTTAAATGGCTCTGTCTGGATTACATACAATAAAAGTCGTCTGCGTGACCTAAGAAATCAATTTGTCCCAATCGAAATTCATAAACGCGCCATGCACGCAATAGCTTTTCTATCAATATTGTGATTAAGCAAATGGTGAGTTTGTAAAAACGTAAAGAACATTGCCAAACAGCTTTTACGGTGACAGTCACTAAGACCGCAAGCCCACAAGACCGACATTAGGGACTTTTAGATTTGCACGTCGACATAGTGGACGGCTACGTGTGACGTCCTTTAGGCGCTGTGATGTCATTTCAAGAGCCTTAAAAGGATGGATCACGTAGCAGCCACTATGTCGACGTGCAGATATAAAGTCCCTAATGTCTATATTGTGGGAGGTATGAAAAGTAGTCGACGTCATTATAATGATTAGTTAAAGAGACCGGCAGCCCACGAGAACATGTTTCGATCTCGCGAACCCGAATACCTCTCCGAGGGTTTATGGGACCGACATTTACGTTCTCGTTGGTTTATGGTCTAGTGGGGTGATTTTAAGGAGGTGTTTTTGTTCTTTGCCTAGACGTTATGCCTACGTTACTTTGTAAAATATGTTCTTTATTGTGCAAACAATTGTTATATGAAATGAAATAAAAATCGATCAATCAATCAATCAATACATGTGTAAATGTTTGCTATAGTTATCCAGTATTTTCATATATAGAAAAAAAGAAAGTATAGCTTTTCGCTGGTGTGTACTAATATATAAGTACACTGTTTACAAACAGTATAGAGTTAGGCCTGTACTATCTAATTACCCGAATCGAAGTTGTACTGTGAAATTTGCCCTGGTGCATTCGACATGTTTAAAATGCATTATATGGGGGGGGGGGTCTCATATTGCCCTGCTTATACTACATGCCTAAATAAAGAAACTCATAAAGAATGATATTAAGAACGAAATGGATTACGACCCTTATTTGTCCTCTGGACTTCTTTGCTTTCACTCTATCAAACTGACGTCGAGAATTAGTGGCGTATTGAGAGTTCAACCATTGAGGGGGGGGGGCAAATTTACAATGCCTCTTATACTGTTTTCACACTGGCACAAAGTTGCTTAACCCCGTACTATATCGTGTTTTTTTCTCCCATTTACTCCTTTTAAAAAATCTGTTTCCTTGTTATGCTTTTTCTCTGTCATTTGTTAGGGGCACGTACCCATGTACCGCCCTCTTAGCTACGTCACTGTCAAGTTAGATACCCATTGGATAGAAACTGCATTAAACGCCCTCGTTATACTATTAGTAAAACTGAAGGCTGATTGTGCACTAATTGTAATCAATATCGGCTCACTGAGTCATATCGACGTCGCCGATTCTACCAATCCGTCGCATGCAGACTTGTTTATTTCCTCATATTCGTCAGGACGGTTCCGTCAGTTTCACAATAGTAGCCCAAGTGCGATATCTCTTTTCAAAATACGTGCCCTGAACACAATGTACGGGTCATGTTGAAAGCTGGGCGTCAACATCGAAACGCCACAGACTTGCCAAACATCACAAAGGAAACATTATTTATGACAGGTTTTCTACAGCGGCACAATGTAACCTGGCAGCTAGCGGTGTCTGTTTAAGAACGCATTAACCTAAATGTGATTTGAGCATGCGCATGGTTGTAATAATTAATCGATGAGTGAGGGTCCAGCCTCATATAAATACCGATGCTGACTTTCGTAAACTCATAGCAACTCTGACTTTCTTACCTGGTTGAAGAATTTCATATTTTTGTTGTGATTATAATTCGTAAATGTACGATTTGGGCTGGAGCCGAACGCGAGAATTACTATGTCTGTGCAATAATGCATTCCACCGACAGGTAATCACCATTTTTATTTTTATAGGTAACCACCGTTCATAAATTTATGTGGTGAAATATTCAATTGCTACGTGCATCCTGAAGTTTTCTTGTGAATTTTAATTGCAATTCATTTTCCACTTCTATATATTTTCCAGCATGCATTTTCCTTTGGCATGTAGTGAATAATGGGTTTTAACATTTTTTTCTTTGCAGGTTAAACCTCCGGATGCGCTGTTCTGATACCAAATTGACAAGAGCTTGAGGATATCTTCAGATCCTACCATGTCTGTGGTCCTTTTACCCGTATCGGACTCTAGACCAGAGATGAAGAACACCATCAATATCAACAACAATGAACCAGGGACAAGCGACGATGAAGTCGTAGTATTTCGCGGCTCCGGTCATTCCGACCAGCTCATGAAGGGGCTCTGCGACCTCTGGAAGGACAATCAGTTGACCGACATTGTTCTTAAGGTTGGCAACAGAAAATTTCCTTGTCATCGAAATGTCCTGGCTTCGGTCAGTCCCTATTTCCACCGGATGTTCTGCTCGAACATGCAGGAGAGCAAGTTGTCATCGGTGTCTCTGCAGGGCATCAGGGCGGACAGTGTGGCCCTCATCCTGGACTTTGCCTATACCTCAAGAATGAACTTCAGCAAAGAGAACGTTCCTCTTATCCTGGAAGCTGCGGACATGCTGCTTATGACGTCTGTCAAGGAAGGTTGCGTGGACTTCATGAAGGAGCATTTGCACCCTTCCAACTGTTTGGGTATCTATACCCTAGCAGAACGATTCAGTTGTGACGAACTCGCGGGAAAGGTGTGGAAGTTTGCCGTCCGGAATTTCAGATCGGTCCGGAAGCATCGCGAGATTCTTGATCAGTCGTTCGAGATGATTGAGAAGTACCTGTCCACCGATAACCTGGTGATTGAGGAGGAAGAAGAAGTCTTCGAAACGATCATTGCCTGGATCAATCACAACCGAAAAACGCGGTTAAAAGACCTCAAGAAACTGTTATCGCATGTTCGTGAACATCTCTTGCCCACGCAGTACTTGGTAGATAAGGTGCTTTCTCACCCGCTCCTGACAAAGTCCGAGTCGTTATCCATGACCATCGAGGTCACCGCCCGACATCGTTCGTCTATGAACTACGGTACACCTCGAACACGATCTCGTTCACGCCGTGTGGTACTCGTCGTCGGAGGCATCGGCCCGGCCAACATCAAACTGACCGAGGTGAAATACTTCGATCCCGTCGATCGGCGGTGGTCGACGTTTTCCCATCTCCCGTTCGACTCCGAGCCGGTGTCGTGCGTCACTGCAGTGATCGATGATGTCTACGTTATGGGGTCTAGGGGGTCTTTCATCGTCCATCGCGCGGAAGACTCGCAGTGGATCGACCTCCCTATGCTTCCCCCTGAGAGGGTTCGACAACGGGTCACGTGCACGTCGTCCGACGATGGCAATCTCTACTTCGTCGGCGGGTTCGACGGTGTGCAGAGAGTTCGAATGGTAGACAGATTCAACACGAAAGACAACACGTGGCATGAGGTGAGCTCAGGCTTAAAGTTCTTAATTGAAATTGGGCTAATGTAAATAACGTTAATATTCTACCATGATCAATTAGATTGGTGTTGCAGATTCGTAGTTTATAGGATGATTTGTTAGAAATGTGTCTGTATGATAATTCAAATGGTGATACACATAATGGATTTTTTTTTTCATTCGGAGGATTCCTCTTCCTCTTTGTCAACGATGTGTAACTGATCAAATAGACCTATTGAAATACTGTTTAATCTAATTTAATGTCAACATCATTATTTTGATAACAACATTCTTTTACATCCAGAAAAATATTCTTTTACATGCTATCCGATTTGTATCAAAAACTACGAAGCATGCCGTGTCCTAGACAGCAATAACCATCTGATTTGGGTCATTTCTTTAATAAAACTGACATTTGTTGTCATTCCCCAATACAGATGGCAACCCAGAGATCTCGTACCGCGGGGATAGCTATAGCCAACAATGGCAGCTTTTTGTGTCAAAACATTTTCTCCCCGATTTTCTTTATTTAGATCTAATTTTCTGATTTCTAAATCAGATGTAAATTAGGTCGGTATGTCATTTGTCCTAATTACAGTTATCAAAATTTGATAACTTAATATTAAATAGACAATTTACGGACTTACTTATATGAATTATCCAATTTGTATCTCAGATCCGCGAAGCAGTACGTTCATGCATTCGAAATATTACCCGGCGGCCGATATATTTCCGGGTCCACCTACCAAAACATAGCCAAATGGCCAATCAGAGCACTCGTTTCGTGGGAGTTCGTTGGTCAAGCTGGGCCGACTCGTATGTAGCTACGGTAGCTATTGGACGTTCGAAAAGAAAAAATGAATATTCATCAACTAAAACCAAGACGGATAATGTTGACGACGAGACTTTCTCGGATTAATCATTAATTTAGGATCTAAATGAGCAAGCTATCGTAAGTCGAATAAGCTATATATATGTTATTTTTAATTTGTGTTGTAATTGCAGCAGTTATGAGGATGTAAAGAGTGAAAATCTCGTTGCATATCTCATTCATCGCGGTCCGGTCGAACCGAACCATTTGTTCCGTACAGTGCCTCACAGAAAGAGGTCCCCAGACTTCAGTCTCTGTAATCGGAGGTCTAGTGGAGCCAGACGTAGTCTCAGTGGAACAACCGACGATTAGAGAGACTGAAGTTTTCGGTCTAGCCGTGTCCTAACATGCTCTGTCACTGATATTGAATGGAATAAAATTTGAATTGAATTGAATTGAATTGAATGGATATCTTGGGATTTCATGTTTTCCTCTAATGCTAAATGATTGAGGCGTAGATTTAGCTTCTGCGGTGACTTCTCTTGCTTACTTTATGCTTTCAGTCCCCTTTTTCACACGCTTTTTTGAAGAAATCACAAATTAGCTTTTCATGGAAATGTCATTGTTATGTCAATGCACATCCTGCGTGATTCATAAGGCTATGAAATTTAGGAAAAACAGTTTTGCTTGGTGTATGCCTTATTGTGGTTTATTGATTTCTTTACTCGCGAAAGCTAGATCAAATATGTATAATTAGTGGTTAATGTTTAAGGATGTGTTGCTTCCTTTTCTTTGCAGCTGCCATGTGGCATTGCTTACATTTTAGTTTCATGACGGAACTTCCTCATGTTATTTACACCACAAAAAAATAATCCATATTGCAATTAAAGATTATGATCAGCAAAGTGTGTTGAAAACTTTTTGAATACCCTTAAACAAATATTGACAATCATATGAATCACTTTTTGTGTGTCTCGAAAAGAGGTAGAATAAGTCCATTGTCGCACCGGGGACGCTATAAGGATACGGTTATTGCTTCAATAATTTAAAGGACCGTGTGAAAATGATCGTAATAATTATCAAGATAACAACAGGAGAAATAACATTATGAAATATAGATCCAACCAATCTTTGTTTTATTTTTATGAAGATTGGTTCGCAAAAGGTATTGTTTTTGTCAGGGATCTAATTAACCCACCTCTTCCTGGTTACAAATTATTTGAAGAACTGGTTTTAGATTTTGATATCTCTTTAAAGGGAAGAAGATGTAATCTTTTGATCTAAAACATCCCTAAACCGTGGTGAGAAAGATTGAATACTGTGAATGAGGATTTGTATTGTGTAATGTTTGGCAAGGTTCAACAGACTCGCAAAGTTCAACAATATGCCCATTCAGTCGTTGGTGAAAAAACATCCCGGATAATCGTGTGAATTTGTTTTAATCACCGAAATCGTGAAATGGGCAAGATTCATTTGATAAACTTTAAATGTACTATTTAATTAATACTTGCATTCATTCATGTTATTTTAAGATCTGTCATAATGCAATTGCTATAAATCATTTTTGTTTCAAAATTTAAAAAAAAAAGGCTCTCCAAAATGCCTTTTATGAAACGAATTTCCTCAAACTCCTTCCCACATTTATAGGGATTATAAATGCAGATTCAGAGGGATTTCCCCAACCAAGGATGGTTTAAATGCACTCATTAAGTTTTTTTGTATTTTTTAAATGAGCATAAAATTAATAGCCAAGAACAGGGGTAGACTTGCTCTTCACTTTCGGAAGTGGAGGATAGATTTGAACTATTGTTCATAATGAAGTATAAACAATTAGAGGACATGATGTGAAAGCATTTTCATTGTGTTTGTTAATATATTTATTTCCCCATTGCCACCTGCCTTTAATATTTTGTTTATGTCTTGTTGAGTGTGATTGTTCCTTGTTTTTTATTAATATAAACGTTATAAAAAAATAACAATAAAACCACCGTGCATCACTATAGCAGCAGATTGCTAATGAGGTGAGGTTCCAAACACTGACAATGCTTTGATACTAGTCACATAATTATGATTCAGCCAATGTTGGACGTTGAATATTTTCACCATGTTCACTGCAAGATATCAAAACTTGATTTGAAATATTTTAATTAAACAGTGTTGACAAATTTGTGACTAAATAATTATGTTCCTAATGAATGATGATTTTCTTGTCGATTATTATCTTGCAGCTGGAGCCTATTCCTGTTGCAGTCAGTTCACCCAGCACCGTCATCTTCGGCAACAAACTCTACGTCTTCGGTGGCGCCCTCGCCAACGGGACCGCAACCGACCTCGTTCATAGCTATGACCTCGACGACAACTCGTCCCCTCATCGATCGTGGGAGGCTCGGAACCCGATGCCGCACGCCTTCTCCGGCATCACCGCGGTCGTTCTGGGCGCCTACATCTACATCGTCGGGAGCGTCTCGACGGTCGTGCACCGGTACAACCCGGTGGAGGATTCCTGGAGCCAGGCTGAGGACATGGCGAAGACGCACGCGCTGTGCGGTGCGACGGTGTGCGGTGGGAAGATCTACGTGACGGGAGGGGAGAACCAACCGAACTCGCCGATCAGCGAAGTTGAGGGGTATGATCCGACGACGAAACGCTGGATGCCGTGCCATAATCTGCCTTATCCTATCAGGTTGCACGGCTGCGCTACGGTCATCAAGAGAATATGATCATGGCTGAAAAATGACCCATCCTGAGCCCTGTCCAAACTTTTGTATTCTTGTTCTCTTACCCAATAACCCAGTCATGGCAAACACGTCCAGGTGACACGTCAGCCATACCTTCATCTCGATTCCAAATCGGCTTCAAACCGATCCCCCTCCCCCCCCCCCCCCCTCCCCCCTCTCCCTCTCATCTCGCTCTCTCTCTCTCCCTCTCTCTGTCTCTGCAAGTTATGGAGGTTTATTTTGACCAACTTCATCTCTCTCCTCGCTTGTTAAACTTATTTTGTTTACACGGATCTTTGTTTCTCGTTGTAAAATAGACGTTCAGTTTTATCTTCGACATGATCTGCTAACTCAGACAATCTTAATGTATATTATGATTATCAAAATTCGAGTTGATTTATTTTTTAATGGACATTATGATGATTCAAGGTGCAATAACTACTTTTCCAATCGTTTCCTATAAATATGTCATTCCTTTTATATAAATTTGTAATTTGTCCGCGACATGTTTGCGATTGTATTGAAATCTCATGGAATTTTATCACATTAAATATAATCTATTTGTATATTTCTTGTATCAGGTATGGTTGTAATATACATTATGTAGGACTGCCATGTAGAACAGTCCAGAAAATTATTGGAATTACTGTGATATGTTGGGAATATTTATCTGTGACAGATATTATGTTTATATATCTTTCATATTGTAAGCAATTTCATTGTACAACTTGTTTTAATGGGAATATAAAGTTGACTTTTTTTTCTAAATGAAAGAAGGGGAGGTTACTGTTTAAAAAATATTATGACGGCCGTGATCATTAAAAGACGCAGATTACTGCAGACTGATATTGTTTACTATATACCAAACAATAAGGCCTGTTATTGACACAAGTCATTTATTCAAATCCATTATAGCTCATCTGAAAAATACAAAACTTTGTGAGAAAAAAAAGCAGTAAACAAAGTCATTTATCAATTGAAAGACCGAGCGTCATGTGTCACTTTTCCCTTAAAATGACAGTTTTTATGGTTCAATTTCAATTCAACACTAGAACACCGACTAATCACAAGGATGACGTCAATTAGTTATTAACACATCGTCAAAATAAATGAGGCATGGGTGATTAAAGCAAGCCAATTTCACCTATTTTTCTACCACTGATTTCGACAATATAATTCGAGTAGTTATGATGTCAACATGTTGGTGGTTTACGAATACAATCATTATGAATGGTGATTGTTATTATTACTGAGGTGAATAATTATTGCGGTTGTCATATTTTTGACAGTAATATGTCATTCTATTCCCGAGTATGCACAAACTTCGGGGTTGTACATGTTATACCATGTTTACAGTTGTTGTTGAAAAACGTATATTACTCAGAGAGCGACCGTTATAAAAAAAAAGACATGTGACGTGTGGTGGTTGCGTCAAAATTAGTTTTTATCAGGTCTTCCATTTGGTTGTCTTTTGCCTGCTGCACACGAGACGTCGTTTGTCTGACGTAAAGGACGGCGTCAACGATCAGTGCGGTCTTTGACGCACTATGTGAAAGAGGAGATGATTGACAAAATGAACAGTGAAACACTGCGTTTGATTACAACGGCGCATGCATTTTTTGCCTTCACGAACTCGATTAGCGCAAAGGTGCAATCGAAATGACGCGTCGTGTCCAGCTATTACCTGCACCAATCGAACCAGTGTAAGCAAATATCCCATGCGCCATTAATTCAACGGAAAGTTTGAACTGGTTTATTTTGCATTCACCTTTGTAACAAGTTTACTCTTACATGGTACGTCAAAGGCCACCAAACACTGACGTAGTTCTACGTCAGCGAAATGACGCATCTTATGCAACAGACCTACACCGGAAGTTTTTGTAAGGATGTAACTGAAGGAGAAGATATTGTATTCATCTTTTTAAGTGTACTTTTCATGTATGCTGTGTGTTTGTGTGTTATTGTGTTTTGTACAGTTTTTATCAATCAGATATGGTTATTTACGTCCTGGCCCGACTTTTAACGTCACCATCCGAAAGACGTGACTCAGATTTGAACCTGAGTTCGATCAGAGTCCATTCGACGGCGGAGATAGAAAGCTAACAGTACCACGGACATTACCGCTAGACCAACTCACTTCTCCCAGTAGTACGTTGATTGTTGTTGTTTTTGTTTTAACTAAAACCATGACCGGATTATGATACCTCGTGACATATGTAGTAATACAGGTCGATTGTCTTTTGGACCAATTTCGTGTATGACATAGGACCTCATCCAGATGCAGGTGTAGAAAAATAAAAATTTCCTATAAATCATTCCAATGTAGTTTACTTTATACATTGTTGAGAGAAAGATGTTTATTCATGCAAATTGTCAAAATATTGGTCTTATATAGCAATATAGTTCATGAGGGAAATAAATATATTGATTTTATAATAACAAGCTTGATTGTGGTTAATATTGTTTGATTCGTTATTTGGATATTCGATTAATTGATTAGTTGATGGATTATGTGACTAGCTGACTGATTAGTTGATTGATTGTTTGTTCAATTGATCGATTGATTGATTGATTGGCTTGTTAGTTTACTGATTGCTTTAATTGCTTAATTGATTAATTGATTGATTGTTTGGTTGATTGATTGGTTGCATTGACTGATTGATTGTTTGTTTGGTTGATTGTTTGGTTGATTGATTGGTTGCATTGATTGATTGATTGTTTGTTTGGTTGATTGATTGGTTGCATTGATTGATTGATTGTTTGTTTGGTTGATTGATTGGTTGCATTGATTGATTGATTGTTTGGTTGATTGATTGGTTGCATTGATTGATTGATTGTTTGTTTGGTTGATTGGTTGCATTGATTGATTGTTTGTTTGGTTGATTGATTGGTTGCATTGATTGATTGATTGATTGTTTGTTTGGTTGATTGGTTGCATTGATTGATTGTTTGTTTGGTTGATTGATTGGTTGCATTGATTGATTGATTGTTTGTTTGGTTGATTGTTTGGTTGATTGATTGGTTGCATTGACTGATTGATTGTTTGTTTGGTTGATTGTTTGGTTGATTGATTGGTTGCATTGATTGATTGATTGTTTGTTTGGTTGATTGATTGGTTGCATTGATTGATTGATTGTTTGTTTGGTTGATTGATTGGTTGCATTGATTGATTGATTGTTTGGTTGATTGATTGGTTGCATTGATTGATTGATTGTTTGTTTGGTTGATTGGTTGCATTGATTGATTGTTTGTTTGGTTGATTGATTGGTTGCATTGATTGATTGATTGATTGTTTGTTTGGTTGATTGGTTGCATTGATTGATTGTTTGTTTGGTTGATTGATTGGTTGCATTGATTGATTGATTGTTTGGTTGATTGATTGGTTGCATTGATTGATTGATTGATTGTTTGTTTGGTTGATTGGTTGCATTGATTGATTGTTTGTTTGGTTGATTGATTGGTTGCATTGATTGATTGATTGTTTGTTTGGTTGATTGATTGGTTGCATTGATTGATTGATTGTTTGTTTGGTTGATTGATTGGTTGCATTGATTGATTGATTGTTTGGTTGATTGATTGCATTGATTGATTGATTGTTTGTTTGGTTGATTGATTGGTTGCATTGATTGATTGATTGTTTATTTGGTTGATTGATTGGTTGCATTGATTGATTGATTGTTTGTTTGGTTGATTGATTGGTTGCATTGATTGATTGATTGTTTGTTTTGTTGATTGATTGGTTGCATTGATTGATTGATTGTTTGTTTGGTTGATTGATTGGTTGCATTGATTGATTGATTGTTTGGTTGATTGATTGCATTGATTGATTGATTGTTTGTTTGGTTGATTGATTGGTTGCATTGATTGATTGATTGTTTATTTGGTTGATTGATTGGTTGCATTGATTGATTGATTTATTAATTTGTGGATTGATTCTTTCATTTATTCATTGATGTGTCGATTGATACTAATAATAATATTGATAATAAAGCGCTGGATACTAAATACTTTAGTCGCGGTACATTGTAATTATCATATTATCCCGGTCATTGGATTTAACTGCTAATTCGCACATGACAGTGCACGCGCTCCGCTCCCTGAGGAATATTCGGACCAGGCGTCATTTTACAAGCGCACACAAAACAATGCATCCACATTAACGTTCGCATCAGACTGGGTACCCATTCAGCACTGACAGTAGTGCCGCGGCGGGAATCGAACCGCAAATTATGTGATCCACAGTCTAGGGATCGATATCCACTAGACCACGACATGATGGCTCAATGGCTCACCAACTCTACGCCATTGACCTCTATTTCAATTTCATCCTCCACCCATCATTAATTTTGTAAGGCCAATTCAATTAACATATATTATCGAACTGTCGAATAACATTGCGAAAACCTATTATTTACGCGTTGTATAATACTTTCGTTAAGTCAGCGTGAAATATGACTCTATTATACTTCTCAAACTGATATTATTGAATGGAGTTTTTTTTAGAGTGAAGAGCAAAGTACAGTCTCGTAAAAGGAGGAAGAAAAAGCCATACAATTATTTTAGATCCCTTGTAATGGATTTCCATATCAAAATGAAGTCCATTTTAAATCTACTCATCTACTAATCTTCAAATTACCAAAATAATTATTTGCAAGCTTTTCAGCTCTATTGGAAAACTCGGAAACTTTTGTCCAAGTGGACCAACAAGGCAACAAGACAGTCCGAACACTTCCTCTTCCATCCTTCTTTTAGGTAATATAGATAAGATACAATATTTGATCTTTTTCTATTTCAGTCTTGGCTTAAGATCCTGATTTTTTTCTGTATTGTCTGACCCCCAAATGGGTTATTATTTGTTACCAACTTCCCAGTGTCATACCCCCAAAGTATCTTTTAAAAAGATAAGCACGCAGGTAAATTGGATTAAAGAAAAAGATGACGATCTTCATATATTTTCAGTTCAGGGAAATTAAAACATTTATTCTTCCCAGATTACATGACGAATGAAAATGAGGATAGTGCCTGTTTACGCTAAAACTACTCATACCTGAATTATTTAATTGATAAACCTTTTTCCATAACTCTTAAAAGTATGCCACAAAGTTGTAGACCTCATTTTCTGACTTGACTTTATAAGGTTTTGTTAGAGCAAAGACGACCATGGATGTGTACTCAAAGTAATAAGCAAGGGGCTGAACCATATACGGATGGAAGGGGGCGAGAGAGGGGGGGGGGGCAATCTGCGGCCCTGTGTGCTGTATACCCGTTGCCAGCTAAATTGATCAAACGGGGAAGGGAAGGGACTTACGACTGGCTTTTGCTGGCTACGCCCTCTGTCAATATTTACACTTGAAATTTACAATTTGCATTTGTAAATTCGTTTGACCTGAACTATTTTATTCTTCTTACTTTTCCTGTACAGAGTATTCATCGGAGTTTGTATTCGAAGACCCCACTTTACTTGATTATTTTGATTTCAAAAACATTCCTTTGGGGTCAATACGTTCTCAGAATCTGAAAATAAAACCGAACAGGATTACAATCATTGTATACAGCATTGCAGTCCATGTTAATATTGACCGACAAATCTCAGAAATTACGTTTCACAAACAGTTTGAGATTGAAAACATATTTGTGACCATAGATTTTTTTTTTCTACGCTGCAGATAAAACATGAAATATTGAAGAATGCTTTACATATAAAAGCTGGGATACCTCACTTTTGGCACTTTAAGTTGACTTTTAAACTCAAAGTACAAATTATTTTTATGTATTCATACCGATTGAATTTATAATGGAGAGCAAATATATTTCAAAAGGTTCTTTTTATACATACTTGTTAACTCGGTCAACATTTCAAAAATCAGACTTACGAATAAAACGGTGCAGCCTGTATGACATACATTTTCAGTTGGAAGAAAAAATGCAGGCAGTGACGAGAGAAAACATGTTTTCCATGACAAAAATTGATTGTTATCGAAATTACTATGATTTATGGCGTGGACTTTGAGCGAGGCCGACAATTCTGATGATAAATTTAAATGATTTGCACTTTCAAGGGGACTCCTTTCCTCATTCCAATAGTGTCACATTATTTTAATTGTATTTATTGAATTCTAGTTAAAGTCGATATTTTTAATATGTGCTTATGGCATTTCTTTTGTTACACCCCGTATAATGAGGTGTCGAAATTATATTTTTTTACAACTCGAACTTGGAGGGGGTAATACCCTGTATGTATTTCTTTATTTTCTAAAAGAGGTTGGTGGGTGCAGTTGTAATCTTGCTGTGGGCATTTTTGTATTGCATTTCGTTAATACGCCGAAAGGGAAAAAGTTGCTAGCGGCTAGCCTGCAGGGCAGATTAATTTGTTCGTTTTGAATACAAATCCTCGCTTTCATTCGGGAGTCAACAGGGGATTCAAAGTAATAATATCTTTGTCAAATATTTCATTTCAGTCTGCAAGTACTCTGATCCCCATGAAATCGCTTCGGAAGTGTATAACAATTTTGGATATGTTCTTTAATTCTAAACGGTATTTTTGTCTCATGTGATTTTCCCCTCCATGTAGCGCAGAAACGTGTCAAAGGAGAAAAGAAATAAAGAAAAGAAAATAGTTCTATTGGTAATACCGTCACGACGAAATGTGGTGCAAAATTCGTAAACAGATCTGTCCGTAAACAGGAAGAGGGCTAAGATTTTATTGATTAGTTGACAATTAAAAGTCTGATATGGATAGGAATAGATATTAGGGTGGACATTGGCAACGGGAATCATTTAATTTTTTTAATTTTAAAGGATTTAAATATAGGATTAGGCAGGAAACAGAGATCAATCGACGGATCCCTGTGGTACAGAAATCACTTATATGCTCTATAGGAGACAAATCTGTATCATTCTCTGTGTCAATTTTGAAAATACAGGCCTTATGTGTTGATCAGTGCTGATATTCGTTCACCAACGGCTATCAACAACAATGGCGTAGCTTGGGTCCAATGCATTCAAGGGCACTGGCATCATGGAGGGGGGGGGGGGGGGGGTGCACCGGCCTTATCCGGTGGACGAAACCCTCTAAACAATCGATTAGACGATTTGAAACGATGTCTCCTCTTAATGTTTCATTTCCCCCTTTCCCTTTCTCCTCTTCGTTTAATTTATTGGCGAGGGGGGGGGGGGGGAACGTACCCCTCGTGTACCCATTACGCCACATGTTGACAGGTGAGTATACTTTTGTGCAATGTTCAAATCTCTCGATGACAATTTTAATTGGTTTATAACTCATTGGGATTATGACTTTGAATATTTCGTTAAAGGATTTTTTTTCTTCTGCATTTACGCCTTAATAGCCTCGAAAATTTCTTGTCCAGCATTTTTAATAATGCTATAAATTAATCGTTGCGCCAGATTATATTAAGTGGTATAGCACTCAACCAAGGTGAGGTTAATGGGTACCTGGTTGGACTATTCCTTGAAATGCTAGACCCTGAGGCATAAGCGTTTTGTAATATAATGCTCAAGTTGATTCGTCTGACAACTAAAATTGACTTCAAGAGGGCAGTCACATTACTGATAGTTGATAAATTGAAATCAAATATGTTTGATAGAAATGTTATTTTAATCTCCAGGTACTGCTCATGCCCATTTTTTGTTAATTATTCGGCAGCTATTTATCATCTTCATTTCAAATCAACAATTTGATACGATCGAGTTTCCACTCCAGGGGGTGTTTCACAAAGATTTGAAGTCGAACTTAACTCTAAGTTGAACTTAAATATTACGGAGAGCCATTTTTAGCCTTATATAATGAAATGCATTCAAAAGCAAAATTCAAGTATTTTAGACTTTTCATAAATTCCACATCAAGAAAATGAAATCTCCCAAGATAATAGAAATATGAATGATTTGAATCAACATTTTATGCCTTTTAAAATAATTTTTACCAAATATTTTCAATGATGCTAACGGCTTTCCATAATTTTAAAGTCCAACTTGATAAGTTCAACTTAGAATCTTTGTGAAACACCCCCTGGAAGCATAACTATAGTGCTAAAGACCCCCCCCCCCCCCCCCCCCCCAATTTAAAAAAAAAATCAATCAATCAATCAATATATTTTTTATTTATTAAAATATATAGTCAAAATAATTATAGCCTAATGTTATCTGTGAAAACTCCAGGAAATAAATAGATTAAGACACTTGCCGATAAACAGGAAGAAAATGATTATGGTGATTATAGATCAAGATATAATACAAATTACAAAGCGGTGATATATCGATTAGAAAATGAAATAATAATGATAACAGTCCGTTCTTATATGGCGCATAATTATGATATAAAGTCTGTATGCGCTTTTCAAAGAGCTTTGGAAATTTTAACCTATAGCTTTAGCTATAATTATGGCAGCGCACAGTACATTTCAATGAATAATCCTACCAGGTACCCATTAACCTTACCTTTGTTGAGTGTGGCAAATGTAGATTAATAGGCAACAAGAATGCAAGAATGGATCTATAAAATAAAAAAACGGTCGGAGGGCATGCAGACATCAGTCAGGGAATTGTACTAGGGGGGGGGGGGGAGGGTACTTGTTCTGGAAGACTAGGGGTGGTGTTCTGAGATTAATTTAATCTTAGTAGTTTATTGTTACTAAGACACGCCCACTTATATTTAGCGTTCGTAGCTGACTGAGGGGGAACGGAGAGAGAGTCACAGAGAGAGAGAGAGAGAGAGAGAGATGGGAGGTAATATATATATATATATTCTATATCTAAGAGAGAGAGAGAGACAGAGAGAGTTACGAAGCGCCTCGGTATAAACTATTTTATTCACCTATTACGAATAATTGTATCTCAATAGTCAGAATTCAAATTGAAAACATTAGCTGTTGCTAGGTAGGACAAACAAGCGATGTATTCAGACCAAAAAAAAGATAAAACACAGATATTAAAGGGTGTCTTTAAAATCCTAAAACACCCCCCCCCCCCATTTGCCAAGGGGGGATGTTTGAACAAACCAAACACCCCTTGCTACACCAATGAGTAGAAGTAGTAGTTGTAGTAGTAGTGGTAGTAGTAGTAGTAGTAGTAGTAGTAGTAGGCGTCGTCGTCGTCGTCGTAGTAGGGCTAGCAGTATAGTGGCACATACTTATACTCCACATAGTTTTGGTGGCGGTGGAATGTGTTGTTGATAGTTGTATTGTAAAGTTAAATGTAGTTCAATGTAGCAGAAGCTGTAGTTGGTCTACAGAAAGGGTAATAGTGTTATAGTGGCAGTGGCAGATTCATTACAAACAATATTTAACAAAATTATGAGGGGTATGTTTACACATATATTCATATGATACTCGAAGTTCATCTAATTTTCATTTAAATAAAATAAGACTAAATATAACTGAGAAATCATTTTTTTTAAACGTCAACAATTGTGGAATAATATACCTCAAGATATAAAATCTAGTCCATCAATTAACGTTTTTAAAAGGAGATATAAATCATTTTTGATCCAACAAAATAAATAGAGATTGATTATGTACACGGTCTGGTTTTTGGTTTGGGTTTGTTTTTGTCCCCCCCCCCCCCTCTAGTAGGCTTTTTTTTTTTTTTTAAATCACCCTCTCAAACAACAATAATACTGTATTATACTTTATTACTGTTTTGGTGGCAGCACCAATAAAGCCTTTGGCTTTCCTAGCTGTCTCCACATTCATATATATTTTTGTTGTTGTATTGTATTGTAAATGTTTCTCTTTAACTTGTACGCTATGTTTTGTATTTTATAAGTTTGTTATGATGTTTTTATGATGAATGAAATAAAGTTCAATTCAATTCAATTCAATTCATCGTTACCGTTTAGTCCTTCAAGTCCGATTGTGAAAAAGGATTACTACCAGTCTTTCTAAATTCTCAGCAAGCTAGGGAATATCTTTGAATGAGTGATCGTCTGAATATCGGTTCAAAACAAGTCCGCTGACTTCCTCCGAAATCTTAATGAAATGACCTCGAAATATTTTCCACAGCGCTACTTCACTAATGAAAACTGAGAAGATAATCCTTGTACTTTGGTCTTGTTTCTTGCCGTATTTAGATGGTAAATTCAGCAATCTATGGAGTGAGGGGTGCTAATAGAAGTCGCAAATAACAAGCCTTTCTTTCACTGTGGCCCGTACGTTGATATTCGTGTAAGTAGAACTTGGACAGACTGACACTGCTAACAAAACAGTGGCGTCTCTAAAAGATGAAGGTGGCTAAGCCTGCTACAATACTATTATATCTGTCCTAAGATTGGAAATATCAGCTAGTGTAGAGTCTAGACTAGAGAGAGAGAGAGAGAGAGAGAGAGAGAGAGAGAGAGAGAGAGAGAGAGGGAGATATTTTTTGTCTTTGTAGACTTCGACTTTAGAAAGAAGATTAAAGTCTAGACTAGACTATAAAGATAGATCTAGACCTAGATCTGGAAACTCAACTGCAAAACTGACTCATAAGTCAGATACTTTTAGTCATAATCATGATAATGAAGATAAAGTGAATGGGAAAAAAAGAAGCTGAAAGGGTTCAAAACCCAGACTTGACAAGGCCGAGGCAAGATTAGATATAATTTGCACACACCCCCAGTATAGTACGATAACTGTAAAGAGGTCAGTACTCATAAGTTAATCATAAGGAAGAAGAAGAAGGAAGAAGAAGAAGAAGTTGAGAGTAATGACAATACTAGAGGTTTTTACTTTTTAGTCTTAGTTTAGAAATAAAAACAGATTAGAAGTGTTTGAATTCTGTACTAAAAGTGATTGCGAAGTATGTTCTAGGACTATTGACATAGAAGTAGACCCTTTCCTTGCAAGAATTTGCTGCCATCCGACTAGGAAATCAAACACATCTTTACTTGAAAAATAATTGTGCACAATTTATTCTGTTTATGCCTCTAAATGCAGATACCGGTATTCATGTAAAGATGAAAGTATTGAAGAAAGGATCCAATCTGGACAAGACCAAACCCTGCAGCATACCCAACATTAACTATGAAGCCAAGATCAAAATACGCAGGATCCCAAGCCAAAACGTTGTTCACCGGTTGCGCTTCAGAGAAATATATCGTCCAAAATGCATGTCGCATTTCTCCCTCACAAGATCATTCCATCAGAACGTTTTCCCAAATTTCACTGTTGTGAATGTTGAGAAGCCGCCATGTTTCTTGCGTAAGTTCTCGCCGGATGGTCGCTATTTCATAGCGTTTTCCTCGGACCAGACTTCTCTTGAGATCTACAGGTTTGAAGGACCAGCAGCGGCTGGGGACCTGCTGCAGAAGCTTCATTCGAACAAGCCTGACGTGGCGGACGAGGAAGCAGAGAGTATTCGCGGCAGGCTGTTTGAGCGATTCTTCTTACTGTGGCACACAGTGAACGTGGCTCCGAACGGTGAGCACCTGAACCGAGAATGTAGTTTGTTTACGGACGATGGCAGGTACGTCATTGTTGGATCAGCTGTGTATGTCCCTGATGAACCCTATCCTCATTTTTATGACATGTACAGGAACAATGAGTCTGTATCCCCTACCCATCGGTCACCTCTTGAAGACTACTCTCTTCACCTCATAGACCTACAGATGGGTGTCTTGTGCGATACCCGGACGTTCAAGTGTGACAAGATCTTCCTGTCCCACAATCAGGGACTCTATCTCTACAAGAACATTCTGGCTGTCCTGTCAGTGCAGCAGCAAACCATTCATATCTTTCAAGTGACTGCAGATGGCAGGTTCCTAGATGTGAGAACTATCGGTCGGTTCTGCCATGAGGACGATGCCTTGGCTGTATCCATCTTGCGCTACGAAATGCCTGCCGCAAACTCGACCCAAAATGAGCGACCGTTCCGTGATGCTTGCATCAACTCCTTGAAGCACCGTTTGCTCGTGTACCTGTGGAAACGTGCCCACAGAGAAGGGACACCCAGCGCCATGAGGCACTTCTATCAACACTTTGACATCTTCAGGTGGCTGCGGATGTGGAAGATGCAATTGCTTGACGAAGTGCACCTCCTGATCAAGTATGCCAGCGAGGATGTGGTGACGTTACGAATGACCGACCCCACCTCTCAACCCTCCTTCTTCGTTGTCTACAACATGGTCACGACTGAAGTGGTGGCAGTCTTTGAGAACACTTCAGAGGAGCTCCTAGAGTTGCTGGAGAACTTCTGCGACCTCTTCCGAAATGCGACGCTCCACGCTCACACCCAGTTGACATGTTCAGCATCCAGCAATGTCTATGCTAGACAGATACAGAGGAGATTCAAGCACACCATCATCAATGCCAAATACGGAGGTCACATGGAAGCTGTCAAAAGACTCCTGGCCCAGCTTCCGATCAGTTCTCAGTCCTACAGCAGCAGCCCATACCTGGACCTGTCCCTGTTTAGCTATGATGACAAGTGGGTTTCGGTGATGGAGAGACCCAAGGCATGTGGGGACTATCCAATCAGGTAACTTGATAGATAATAAAGAAGATTCAACTTTTCGACCATGTAGTTTTGAAAGAAAGAAAGAAAAAAAAACATAGAAAGTAATTGGTGAAAATGTGAACAAAATAGAAAGAAAAAAAAGCTCAAGTGTCTTTGAGAGTTCAAATATTTATGCAAGTGGGAATTTCAATAAGATCAGTATTAAGTCGTTGAACTCTGACAAAATAGCTTTCTAAAAATTTGATCACTGGGTAGCACTTGTCTTCAGAGGACATTTTCCTTTAGTTATTTGAATATTTTCAAGCATTCATCAATCTGTTTCATTCATTTTTCAATTTCACAGATATTTCTGCTCCCTGAAAGCAACATGCTTTCTCCTCTACAAGTAATGTTAGGCTTCCTGGGAGTAATTTCAATTTTTGTAAAGACATTTTTGGCTTGCACCTAGTAAATTAAAATAGCATATTCAATTTTGTAACTAAAAAAAAAATCAGAAAAAAAAAATCAAAAATATACTGCTTGTAGGGCAGCAACCAATTAAATTTGTAACTTTCTTATTTGTAGTATGTTTGCTCAATTTTTCACTTACCTCTTCCTTTCATTTTCTGCTTCCATTAAAACTTTCTTAATATCTGGGTGGACTTCCCTTTAGTCCATAGATGCCATCACCTTCAGTCATGCAGAACAATATTAAAATGGATTAGCTATTCCCGTTGGGAAATTATATACCACAATTACAAATTCTGAGATTTTCATGGTTGCAGCTACCATTGTACGGCCGTAGGCCCTATCTGAAATTTATCAAAATTTACCGGGAGCACCAGTAAATTTTTATATTCAATTTTTCTCGAAAGCAGAAGTGTTCTAGGGGCTAAATTTTCTAGTGGTTATAATACATCCACAGGGGCATCCAAATATATCAAAATTCTAAAGAATCACTATCCACCCAATTTTCAAAATTACTTATAATTCACTTATTTTGTTTATGATAACGTAAGAAAATTAGTATAGCAATATTCTGAAGGATTTCTATGTCATAGTATATGATAAATATTATGTACCATATATAAAGTTATTTTGATTCTTTGTATACGTTTGTAAAATTTGAGCAGATCAAATTTCCAATATTGGACAATAAATTGAAATTGAAATACTAAATCATATTCTTTTTCCTTTTTCCCAGGTTCTATGCACGAGATTCAGGCATCTTGAAGTTCAAGATCCACGCTGGGCTGGTGGGACGCCCTTCCCCTCCATCTGCTCGCCGTCTCGTTGCCTTCACCTTTCATCCTTACGAACCCTTCGCCATCTCAGTCCAGAGGACCAACACAGAGTATGTGGTCAACTTCCATGTGCGCCACCAGCCAGCAGACTAAGGACAGTTACTCATTTTATGCCTCTGCTACAAAGTAGCCAGAGGTATAATGTTTTCGGGTTGTCCGTCCATCCGTCCTTTTGTACGTCCCGTTCTCGTGATGGCGTTATCTCAAGAACCGATTGATGGATTACTGCCAAACTTGGGTCATGTATGTATCTTGCAGAGCCAATGAACTGATTAGATTTTAGGGTCATGAGGTTAAAGGTCTTGGGGCTCATGTATGCAAAAATAGCTTGTGAACGCATGATACTATCAAACTCTGGACATGTATGTATCTTGCAGAGCCAATGAACTGATTAGACTTCAGAGTCATGAGGTCAAAGTTGAAAAGGTCATACATGTATATGAAAAATTGCTTGTAATCACGATATTCTGAGAACCTGTAAATTGGATTACAATCAAATTTGAATTTTTTTTGTTGCTTCTGATCCATTTTATTTCTTCTCAGGTTGCTCCTACTAATCGGAGCAGTGTGTAGGAAAATACTAATGTCATTTGAACTGCCATCATCAATTGGGCTTAATTTGGGTCATCGTGTCAAGTCAGGTAGTCGCTTTACCCGACCTATTTTTGAAAGCATGCTCCTTTATTCATGAAATGTCAGAGTTATGTTTAAAAAATATACCCCTCTCATCTACAAATGGTGTGGTTTAAATTTACCCGACACTTTGTGAAAAACCTATGGCAAATCTATGAAAGGGGCTGTCGCTGACCTTTACGTGCATCTCCACATGATCTTTCGTTTTTGTTTTACTAAAGGTTTTGTGACGCGACCACCTGACTGGTCATGATGACCTGATGACTCGAAGTAAGCCCATTAATTGCATTTTTTCGTTACTGCTTCTGTTCAACCAAATTTGTAAATAAATTTCTAAATGACTGCTTATTTGATTGTTCCATTAGCCATGAAATATATTCTATGGGAATAATCTTTTTAATGACTATGTTTATGTCAATAAATATTAATGTTTTCTCCATGTGAATGCATTTTGCAATACTAAGATTCTTTGGTAGAAATTGCTCCCCATAGGATTGAAAGGGTTAAGAAAAATGATCATAGATATGGAGGTGTAGTTACAAAAGGTACATAAAATAATATAAATAAAGCGAAAACGAATGTGCATACATGTACCTTACCGGGACTACTTACAATTGGAATTTAGCTTTTTATTTGCTGGAGGCCATTTTCCTTTTTAACGAATACCCGGTACAGATACAATGTACATTTGACATTTTTGATGTCAGTTCACACTGTTGCCAGGAAAAAGATTACTGAGAAAATTAAGGGTGGTAGAGAAATTGCACTCAAAAATGAATTTGTCCACCATTGCATGTTGTTTGCAATGTAATTATATTAATAAAAGATTTACACCAGTTTTTACACTTACATGTATGACATGTAAAACAATATTTCTGCTGTCTGTATCTTTTTCATTTATGATCCTGAAGGTGATACTCAATAATTGGGGTGTCATATGAAAGAGCAGATTTTACTCCATATTCCCCAAAGGGGCTTTACTCGGAACTCTAAAAACATCTTCATCAAAACAGCGATTTAAACCTTGTTTCATGGTAACTCAGAGATTTACCACTTTCTTGAATCAAGTATTTATCTTAAAACTAAACAATTTATGTGCAATTGAGTTTGGCAAATGTCAGTTTTATTAAAGAATTCTCTATACCAGACAGTGTTTTCTGTCTTGTAAAATTGTACCCAAGATTACAAAAATCATTGCATTTTGCCTTCATGTATATATGCCATTCATACACAACATTTCAATCTAAACATGATATGCGTTTATTTCTTAAGATATTGTCTTAGTTATGATCAGAACCAGGATAGTTATAGAATCTGATTGAGGATTTTCCCCAGAATGTGTTACTGCTTAACACTTTCCCTGGAAAATTAAGTACATTGTAGCTAAGATTTTGGTTTTAAACAATATTCAATAACTTGAAATTCAGGCAAACAGGTAATGCCTATTAATGGACTATTCAATATTATGTTTAAAAATGAAAGATAATCATTGATGCAAGCAGATTTCAAGAAAGTCTTGGGACAGATTTCAAGGGTTTTTATAGAAGTGCCTGTATTAACAGTTTTATTTCAAGGGAAAATGTATAGTCTTTTACCACAGAGGGAGCTGTTCAACATTTGAGATCATTACCTTTGGAATCACTTATTCATTACCCTGACAAACCTATTTCAAAGCATATCTGTACTAGTTTACAGGAGTGATTAGACCGCCCTGCAAGGTCACTGGACAGGTGGTTATCTCGTCAACTCAGCTTTCAGTTAACATAAGAAAAAGAGGATCATGGGGGACCAATGGTCACCGATTAGGCATTGTTTGTTATATAGAGGGCGCAAGTAGCTACAAGTAGTGCAGTGGGCCTTTAAACTTCATAGTTGTGAGGAAAAAAATCTGTTTGATAGATGTGCCTTAAAGGGACTATGTCCCATTTGCAGGCCAAAAAAATGAAAAAGTTAAATTCCAACTATAAGTTGTCAAATCGACTTTAGGGCTATAGAGCCCAAAAGTAATAGTCTTGATTTTCAGACAATTGTACCAAATGGTCATACGTTTATTGCTGCACAAAGATTCAATCAGTTTAATCTTGGCCATCACAAGAAGTGGGTTATTGATGTAGACAAAAGCTCATGTACCCTTTACAACTCTTTTCATGTATATTATTACCAAAGAAGAAAAAAGGCCAGTCAGTCACTCAATAGTGTCTGACAGTGAAGTCTAGCAAGTAAACGGTTTTCCTTGCATAATTTGAATATGAGGACACTGCTAACGCTTAAATTTCACAGATACGACATACATGACATGTTTTCATAATTCCTGCAAAGTTCTACAGCATTTGAGGTTGGCTGCAAAAGGGACATAGTACCTTTAAAGCTACATTTCCGTTTCAATTGCAAAGACCTTTTCAGCAATTCTTATGGTTATGTTGAAAAGGGTTTCCTCAAGTTCAACAGAACAAAAGTACCTTTCATTCAATCTTTCTGCAAATGTAATACAGTTCTTGTCACAACAGGCCTACCGTATATCAGATTCTTTTAGTCATATATTGAAGCCAGAAGCTAAGGAGAATAACATGCCTGTATGAAACAACTCAAATAAATTTATTCTTGCTGATTTCAACAGTATTGCCTTAAATAAGCAATGACAAACTTTGTCAGTTATGAAGGAGGCGCGGTGGCTCAATGGTAGAGCAGTGTTCTCGAAACCAAGTCGATGCGCTAGTGCCCTTTGGTAAGGTATTAATCCTCATTACATAGTTCCTTAGGAGAGGACTTTATCTTTATAAAAATTTCCTTTGTCCTTGTTGCTACATGGGATAGCCTCTGACAAGGTTGTTGGTTCTCCGTGGAGAAAATTAGTGAACAGAAATATACATAAATTATCAATGTATAAATAAACCTGATGTTCCATGTGATGTTTATTTTCTTCTCCAATTCTGTGGGTAAATGTAAGCTGAGGGCTTTACTGGTTTTGTGGTCATTACATCCGAAAAAAGAGATAAATTATATGAAAAGAAAAAAATACGGAGAAACAATAGAAGACTGAGAGAGGGGCGGGAGTCAGTGAGGCAGATAAGGGGAAGAGAGGAATAGAGCAAGATATGAGAGATAGAAAAAGAATGCCAAGAAAGGGTGATGAAAAGAGGGGGAGGACCGGAATAGGAGAGTGGAAGGAGGGAGAAGAGAAAAAGAGAGAGTAATACAGTGCAGATTCTGAATGATGGTGAAGTGACAAATCTTGTGGAATAATCAAGTGAAAGGGCATGCCGATAACCAGAAAAAGTTAAGTTAAATGTCTTTGTATTATAATAGACAGTAAGTAAATTTAGCAGGCTCTGCATAAGTACATGTACTTTTACAGGTGAAATTACAGTGAAGCCTATCTATCTATATAAAATTATAATACTCACAATATTAACCAAATAGTCTGTCTATTGCTTATAAAGTGTTGCCAAGTGTTCATTTCAAATTTCTTTTGCGATTTTGAGGTGAGATTCACAACCACACCTTTTTCTGTGCTCCCTTTATCTCCCTCTTTTGTTTTTATTTTCTTCTCTCCTCCCTTTTTTCTTCTTCTCCGAGTCACACTCGTCCTTTTTAGGGTGAGGCTTCTTCTTCTTTATTCTTCCTCTCCTCCTCAATCTTCTTCTCCTCCTTTTTCTTCATTTTTCTTCTATACAAAAGGATGAGAAGCATAGAACAAAAACTTGGTTGGTCAGGTGAAGAGATGAACTCTTTTTGTACTCTCTTTCCGTAGTACACCGTCGTATTCCAACACCTCTATCCTATATACTTGTACATTGCAGTCCCTCGGTGTGTTGATGCTTTCCGCCCAGGAGGATTTGTTTACATATTGCGTAGTAGATGACTTGGCGCCACTGACTTGGCGCTCATTCACGAGATGGATGCAGCGAGCTATCTAGCTCACTTTCCGCATGACTGATTCGTCGTGGTGGGCTCGAATTTCGTCTAATCCCTGATTGGCTTACGCTGACAAAGGGTACGCCCACATTTTGTTGCTGATCAAATGAAGTTTTACCTTTGAAGCTATAATATTCAAATTTTTATTGATAAACAAGATCAATTTATTATCAAAAACTTATATAGTTATAAGTTTATTTTAATTAAAGAAAAATGTTTTTTTAGTTAAATAAAAGAGATATTTATTTTTTATTTACCAACGCCACATGATGCCGGCTTAACATAATTTCCGCGTTTCCAGTGGATTCGATAGTGCATAACACATGTGACATTACGGTATTGTGAGTAAATGAGCTGGTCGGTCTGCTGCTGTGCATCGTAACGAAACTTAACTAGACTCTATCACTGAATAGTGAATACAAATAACTGGACTTCTTTAAAAAAAGGTAAGAACCTAAGAGTTATGTTTGCAGTCAGTCTGATCTTGCGATTAGACCTAGACCTAGACTAGATAATAGTAGAATCTAGATCTAAGTTAGAGTTCTAGACTAGACTCTAATTGCAAATTTGCAATTGATCACAACTCAAGTCTCAAGTCTCAACTTTCTTGCAAGTTCAAGTTGCAACGCCCCATCAACCATGATCTAGATCTAGATCTA